AAGTACAGCTATGTGAACACACACTGACTTAAATTTATTACAAAAACAACCGACACATTGATCTCGGAGGGCAGCAGGTTGTGACATTCCAATGGCTCTTATTTGATTTGTTGTTGTTATGATTTTATAATGATTTATGTTCTTGAAAATAACATCAATCCCTGCTGTTTAAATGGGATGGATTGCCTGAATTATTACAGATCTGAGCATGTAAACACATTACTGTAAAAAATGGCAAAATGAATATGTGTTGCTGGTTGCAACAGAATGATATAAAGTAATTTGGCCTGTAATCTTGTTTTTGCAGTGAGAGGTGTAGGATTTATGATCAAGTAGCTCCCTCTGGTGGTCACTTCAGTCATTTCATTGAATTTTTCATGTCATGTAATTATAATTTATTTTTCTGATATTAGGGAGATTTGCATCAAATCATATTTATGTTAATAAAATGGAGACTAAGACATTCATGTACTTACAGCCCAACCTGCCCTGCGTGGACAACATGGCTTTTGACATGGATCGGATGTCCCGCAGTCAGACGTCCAGCCAGAGGACAGCGCTGGTGGACTTGTCCTCTGAGACCAGCATCAGTCTGGAGCCTCTACGCCACTCCAGTTCCTCCCAGCTTCCCTCCGACGAAGAGCTCATTCCTCGCTCTGGAGAGATCAACATTGCTGTCACTAGTAAGAGCGGGGCTTATTCTCTCTTATTTTGTCTCTCTTATTCTATCTGGATGTTCTTATAGGTGAAGTGTGTCATTTCTGCATCACCAAAGTGTATTGCAAAAATCACACACTTTGTCTTTAAGTTTGCTCACCTCTGTCCCACCTTCTCCTTCATTTCTTCCCCAGCAGGGGGTAAGCTTTCCTTACTGTAGTGCACTGACTGCATCGCTCCACCTGTTGTTCAGGGACATCTGTGTGCTGCTGAGGCTGAGCTCAGTGATGTGAGCAGGTGTCTGTGCTCCACCGCAGTGTGTCCTGCCCTTTACTGCAATGAATATTGTGTACTAGACTTCTTAAGTCACTGCGTGTGTGTCATGGCACTCTTTGGTCTCTCTTTTCTGACATTTAAAAATAAATTCAAAATTCTATGTAACATATATAATTGTATAATTAATGGGATAATGTACATTCAGCCAGTCATTATCATAAAATAAACACCTTCAGGATGATCACATTCTAGGTGTTATTTTGCGATAATGACCATTTGACTTTATATTATTGGTTACGTTTTTAATATATGTATATTTTTTTTATTAAATCTGTTTATTGAACTTTTACAATAACAACAGGATACAGAT